ATTTAAATCAGATTTTTTTGATAAAATGCTTTTTGAGGAAAAAACCTATCTAAAGATAGTTTTAATTAAGATACATTATAGCTCAAATATATCTCATCATGGAATAGGGATTATAAATTCTAATTCTATAGTATGAGACAATATATTCATGTACTGTTTAAGAAAAGTTTTGTAAATCATAGAAAATATAATCATAGAAATGTAGGGCTGGAAGGAAGCTCGAGAGGTTATCTAGTCCAGCCCTCTGTGAAGAGGCAGAGCCAAGTAAACGCCTAGACAATCAGTGACAGTGTCTAAGCTGTTCTTAAAAACCTCCAATAACAGGAATTCCATAACCCCCCTTGGTAAGTTATTAAAGTCCTTAACTGTGCTTATAGTTAGAAAATTTCTCATAATATTTAACTTAAAATCTCTTTATCTTCAGTGGACATGGAGAAGAATTGATCACTATCTTATTTACAACATCCCGTAACATATTTGAGGACTATTATCCGATCAACTCTCAGTCTTCTTTTCTCAAGACTAAACACACCCAGTTCTTTTAATCTTTCCTCTCAGTTCAGGTTTTCTTTTATCATTTTGGGTGCTCTCCTTCGGACTCTCTCAAATTTGTCCACCTTTTTCCTGAAGTGGAGTGCCTGGAACTGGACACAGTACTCCAGCCTTTTTTGCAACTGCAGCACATTGTTGACTCATATTCAGTTCACAATTTACTATAGCTCCCAGATCCTTTTCAGCAGTACTACCACCTAGCCAATTATTCTCCATTTTGTAGTTGTGCATTCAATTTTTCATTCCTAAGTGAAGTACTTTGCACATACTGTACCTTTATTGAATTTCTTCTTGTTGATTTCAGACCAATTCTTCCAATTTGTCAAGGTCATTTGAATTCTGTTCCTGTCCTTCTAAGTGCTAGCAACCCCACCCAGTTTGTCCTTATCTGCAAATTTTATAAGCACACTCTCCTCTCCATCATCCAAGTAATTAATGAAAATGTTGAACAGTACCAGACCCAAGACAGACCACTGACGGATCCCACTAGATACGTTCTCCCAGCCTGACAGAAAGTCGTTTCAATTAGTTTTTCACGCACTTTATAGTAATTTCATCCAACTACACTTTCCTACTTGGCTTATGAGAATGTCACATGGAATGGTGTCCAAAGACTTACTTAAACAAAAACAAAAATCACATCTATAGCTTCCCCCTATCCACTAGGCCAGGAACTCTATCAAAGAAGGAAATTAAGTTGGTTTGGCATGATTTGTTCTCGACTAACCCATGCCAGCTATTACAGTCCTCTGGGATCTCACCTGTCCTTCATGAATTCTCAAAGATAATCACTACGAGTTCCACAATTGCTTCAGCTAGTTCCTTAAGACAAGTACTCTACGGTGAATTTCAGTAGGCCCTGCCAACTTGAATACATCCAATTTATCTAAATATTCTTTAGCATGTCCTTTCCCTATTTTGGCTTGTGTTCCTTCTCTCTTGATGTTCATGTTTATAAATGAGTTCCAATAGTTCATGGATTAGGGACCCAATTTTATGGAGTTCCAGGGGCTTCTGTATAGATTATTTAGGTTAATCTTTCTATCTACCCAGTTGGACTCAGTGCTCAGTCTAGAAGATACCATCAGAGATACTTAGTTTTGCAGTTCTCAAACTGTGGATTTGTGTCTCCAGAGATAACATGCTTGTAAAAAGCAAAATATATAGAGGTGAGAAATATAATAAATAAATGTATAGAGGTGGGAAATAACAGACCTCAACACTATTGTCCCTCTGCAAATTTGTGTACACAGAGTCAATCCCTTACCGCTCTCTAAAAGTGCAAAGTTTCAAAAAGTTCAATGAATAGAAGATTGTTGGGGATGGAATAGATCTGGGCAAGGAGAACGTCTGGAGATAAATGTGAGATGGGAGGGACAGCAAGTAGAAACAAAAGTGAAACTGTTTGTGCAGCATATTCCAGAAGTCTTGAGGTCTTTCTGAGTGTAGCTTTCATTGATTTAAGATCTACCATACCATTAGACTCATAGACTCATAGACTTTAAGGTCAGAAGGGACCATTATGATCATCTAGTCTGACCTCCCGCATGATGCAGGCCACAAAAGCTGACCCACCCACTCCTGGAATAATTCTCTCCCTTGACTCAGCTGTTGAAGTCCCCAAATCATGATTTAAAGACTTCAAGTCACAGAGAATCCTCCAGCAAGCGACCCCTGCCCCATGCTGCGGAGGAAGGCGAAAAACCTCCAGGGCCTCTGCCAATCTACCCTGGAAGAAAATTCCTTCCCGACCCCAAATATGGCGATCAGCAGAACCCCGAGCATGCGGGCAAGATTCTCCAGCCAGACCCACATTGACCATTGATACTAATTACCAGTGATGGCACGTTATTGATTTATTGACTAAAATCACGTTATCCCATCAAACCATCCCCTCCATAAACTTATCAAGCTTAATCTTAAAGCCAGAGAGGTCTTTCGCCCCCACCGTTTCCCTCGGAAGGCTGTTCCAGAACTTCACCCCTCTGACGGTTAGAAACAGTCATCTAATTTCAAGCCTAAACTTCCCGACGGCCAGTTTATATCCATTTGTTCTCGTGTCCACATTAGTACTAAGCTGAAATAATTCCTCTCCCTCCCTGGTATTTATCCCTCTGATATATTTAAAGAGAGCAATCATATCCCCCCTCAGCCTCCTTTTGGTTAGGGTAAACAAACCGAGCTCCTCGAGTCTCCTTTCATACGACAGGTTTTCCATTCCTCGGATTGTCCTAGTGGCCCTTCTCTGTACCCGTTCCAGTTTGAGTTCATCCTTTTTAAACATGGGAGACCAGAACTGCACACAGTACTCCAAACGAGGTCTCACCAGTGCCTTGTATAACGGAAGCAGCACCTCTTTATCCCTACTAGAAATACCTCGCCTAATGCATCCCAAGACCGCATTAGCTTTTTTCACGGCCACATCACATTGCCGACTCATAGTCATCCTGCGATCAACCAGGACTCCAAGGTCCTTCTCCTCTTCCGTTACTTCCAACCGATGCGTCCCCAGCTTATAACTAAAATTCTTGTTAGTCATCCCTAAATGCATCACCTTACACTTCTCACTATTAAATTTCGTCCTATTACTATTACTCCAGTTTACAAGGTCATCCAAGTCTCCCTGCAGGATATCCCGATCCTTCTCTCACTAGAAGGAAAAACCTATAATGACAGCATGCCGTAAAAGAGATCCAGTTTGGGAATAAGAACCATTCAAGAAATATATGTTTGCTGATGTTTTTTTTAAAGAAAGTTACACCAGTGAACTGGTGGAAGTCACTTAAGCACTTGGATTCAGAGACTGTTGAAGTGATAATCTCACTTTTAACAGAAGTAGCTGCTTCTGCCGGTGTAGAAAGAATATTTTCTTCCTTTGGACTAATTCATTCCAAATTGAGAAATAGTTTGGGACCGGAAAAAGCAGGAAAGCTTGTTTTTCTTTTTCAGATTATGAACAAACAGGAAAATGAAGGGGAAGACGACTGAGTTAGCTGCAGAAGCCAATATAAGTTTCTCATGTTGACCTGGCTGACATTGTCGATTTAATTTTCTTTTGTTTTTTAAATATTTCATGTACCTATTTTAGTTTAAAACAATTTTAACAAAAAGAAACCTGATTTTAAAAAACTTGAATGTTTAACTAAATTAAAAAATTCATATGCTTGTTTTGTTAAAATATTATATGTTTGCTGTTGAAGAAAAAAATCCAGAATACATAACGTTGTTGTTTTAATTAAATAAAACAATTTAAATGTCTGTCTGGTGATGTTCTCTTCCTAATACAGCATGGCAAGAAAATCCTCCAAAGATTAATGATTAACCTGTTGAATTGGAAATAGTTCACCTCCCAATGACTTCATAAATATCTGCTTCAATTACCTTTGGTAAATGAAATAACCAAACAATCATTCATTTTCTGATATAGCTGTAAAACTAATCTGAAAAGTTTTCAAAATAAATCACTTTAAAAATGTATAGTGTGTACCTTCTAAAAATGAAACCTACATCTATCTCTGAGTTGTGAAGAATATGTATTAAGCTTATAACAACCAACAAGAATGCACTTTTATGTAGAAATCCATGATTAAATCGAGTCTTCCTGACTAGTGATCATGATTTAAATCAATTTGATTTAGATCAAATCCATCCTGGTAAAAAGAATGACTTAGAACTGAAAGTCTTTCAGTCTTAATTGTGAAGTTACTACTGTGACACTAATGTCTAAACCAACTTTAGAAGAGCAAAGAGAACCTTAAGTTAAATGGAGACTGTCAGCTGGACAATCATTTTTCCTCTAATAATGTTGTATTTGCTAGTAACACCTAGAATGACTATGGGGGAAAGAACTTAGTGAGCAAACCAGTTCTTAATATTTTTCAGTTTGTTTATTTTGTGCACGTGGCAGCACTTTGTGTATTGCCATTTTACTGATTCCCCAAATAGGTAGTTTCTCCCTCACTGAAACATCAACAGGTAAGATGAACAGATATACTTTTTTAAAAAGGTACTTTTAAAAAAATCCCAACCATTCTATTTAAATGGTACTCTGTTGGAACCTGGATTTTTTTTAAATTAGTCATTATAAAATGATTCAGATTGACAGGTAAAATTTTCAGAAGTGGACAAGTGATGTAGGAGCTTAAATCCTATAGGACTTTAGCACCTTTTACATTTTATTCAAAGCATAAACATGCCAAAAGTGTAGTATCCGTCTGCAATATCAATAGAGAGTAACCACAACAACATAAAAGTAAAGTCACTACCAAAATATTTTTCAAAGCAACTATCTGAAATATTGGTAATTATATTACTAAACGTACAATTTATAAATATTTCAAACTTTGTTTTACTCACAGTGTTCTCCACACCATCAGCAGCAGCCAGAGGGAGGTTAAGTATATTTGTTTACTGAACTACCTCTGAATTATTTCTTCTGTTTCTTTCAGGGTCAGCCTGGTCACCTAGGGGCTCAAGGTCCAATTGGATCTTTGGGATGTACAGGGCCAGATGGTTTGCAAGGAGAAAAAGGACAGAGAGGTGAGAATGGGCTGCCTGGGCCCGCTGGAGAAAAGGGTGATAAGGTAGGAAATACCATGGGAAGGTCTTTTTTAGTATGTAAAATATAACGGTGAATATTGCAAAATGAAACAAATCAAGAACAATAAAAGCCTTTACTGAATGTTAAAATTACATGGGCATCTCCTGTTCTTACTCATGCAAAACTTCCACTGAAATCAGTTATAGAGCTGAGAAAGAACTGCAGAATTTGGCCCCACGTTATTAAATCAAAGTTGGCAGTAAAAAAGTTAAAATTCAGGGGTCTAAGTGTTCATTTGATATGTCCCACCTCACTCACATTAGCATCAAGAAGGTTACATGCACATATGTGGGGGAAGAATAGAACTTTAAAATAATACTGTACAATAGGCATAAATTTGCCACCTTTGGTTATGGTGAGAAATGGAATCACAAATGGTGCCTTTTATTATAATTCAGCCTTTGGTTTTACACATTTCTACAATCCTTGAACCTTTACCCTGGCTTTCACTGGTCTAATTCCATTGACACCAGTGTCAGTGAGATCAGAATTTAGTTTCTTGTGTACAACTCCACTAAAATATAGAGCTTGATCCTCCTCTGGAGTCAATAGAAGTTGTGCCATTGATATAAGTGGGAGCAGAAGCCAGCCTGTAATATGGCACATACCATTATTTTACACATTATGGCTAAATTCATCTTTTGAGTAATCCCTTGTGTTTTAATGGATGAAATTGGCCCTAAGAATTTAATATTGTCCCCCAGTACCATTTGTGGCATTCATAGCTATCATTGATCATTGTTCAAGATACACTAGCTGGATAACCTCAGGCGGAGTCTGTCCACTTTATATCAGAGATGCAAGGTGGGTGAGGTATACCTTTTATTGGACCAATTTCTGTTGGTGAGAGAGAAAAGTTTTCAAGCTACACAGAGCTCTTTTTTTAGGTCTGGGAAAGGTAGTCAGAGTGTCACAACTAAATACAAGGTGTTTAACCATAACTGGTCACTTGACCTTGAATGGTCTCTTACAATATGTGTTACCTATTTATGCTAAACAATCTGTTCCACCTTGCATTTAGCTGTGACACTCTGAATATCTTTCCCAGACCTGAAGAAGAGCTCTGTGTAGCTCAAAAGCTTGTCTCTCTCACCAGCAAAAGTTGGTCAAATAAAAGATATTACCTCACCCATCTTGTTTCTTTAATATCCTGGGATCAACACAGCTACAACACTGCAAACATCTTATATAGCCATTTATCCTGCAGTGAGGTGTTAAATTCATGATTCAAATGTGACTTTATTTCCTGATAGTTTTTGACCTAATTTTACAGTACCACATCCTCATGTTGTCCTCAGTTTTTAAATGTTCTCAAAGAACAAAATTGTAAAAGTGATTTTTTTTTTAGGGCCCAACAGGAGTCCCAGGATTTCCTGGTTTAGATGGTGTGCCTGTAAGTACACTGCCAATATTGTGTTATAAAGATTACAATTCATCTGAACCCATAGGGAACTATTTTAACAGATTACCTTAATAATCAGATACGGTTAGTTTTATTCCCTTCGTTACTGTATCACCTGGAGAGCTGCATATTTTGTACCTGTGTGAAAAACAAAGTAAACCATTATTATATTTAGTATTGATAATACTTCACACTTAACATGTTTTCCAAAAGACAGTACAAACCAACTAATTCAATCCATTAACACCCCTGTGAGGTAAGTAAATATTATTATTCCCATTTTATAGAGGAGGGACTGGAGATAGAGAGGTTAACTGAGACTTGCACAAATCCATGCAGCACGGAAATGCCAATGCCAGGATTAAAAACTAGTAGTCTCTAGCTCCAGGCTCTAAAGTAGACCACACGGTTTCTGAATACATTCTTAAAATAGCAAAAAGGATCCCAAGGTAGTAGTTCTTTTTCTGTTGAAACATTTTGAGCACTGTCCAGCAGTTCTTACTCAAATAAAAAACCCATTGAAACCAGCAAGAGATTTCCTGAATAGGAACTATAGATTTGGACACCTCAGTATTAAGGTAGATGGAAATACAGCTTTGTGTACAAACTGTCATATATAAATGGAAATGAGTAGGGTGAAAGGATAGGATGCTCTATTAAATCCAATAATTTGAAAATGATTTTCTATTAGAGTTAAATCCTGGGAGGCCCTTTATGACTACACAGGGATCAACCAAAATGGAAATAGTGCACTTTGGATGTTCATGTAGGCCAGGAAGCAGAGATCCTGTGGAGGGGATCTCTGATCCATTTGTGCTCTGTGTTTGCTCTCCATATCTGTCCATGTAGTTGGGATTGTTGCTAGAGGAGCTGTCAAATACATGGTTCCATAAGACCAAAATCTAGCATAGAGAAGAGAACAGGGTTGTGTCTGCTAGAGTTGTCTGGAAAATAGAAATCCCTTTTCATGAAAAATTGCATGTTCGAGAAAAAAATTATCCTGAATCAAGGATGCAAAATTTTTCACAGGAATGGATTTTTAAAAAAATATTGTTTCAGAAGCACTGAAATGGGATTTTTTTGATTTGCCAGCTTCCCACTTGGAAGGTTCTTCTGCCAGACAACAGTCTTCCAGGTTGGCAGCTGAGGAGTAATCATTTCAGTTTTCGCAATGGAAAACCTAACTTTTTTTTTGGCAAAACTGAAATTTTCATGTGAAAATTTTTAATTTTGCCCAAAAGGCATTTTCAGTTGGAAAATTATTCTGATGGAAAATTCCCAACCAACCCCACTGTCCGTTACTCTTCCCATCCCCTATAATAGTGAATGGTCAGTGCATGGGGGGGTTGGAAAATCAGTTCCACCATCCCAGAATTTGTCTGTGGGTTTTCCTGAGCTCACAGTATGTTTGACTCAAGTTGTACCCTATTTACTTGAATTGCATCCTAACAGTAAAAAGGGGCCTAGCTAGTTTGGGATGACCTTAGTGTATGTCATTCACAAGGAATAAAACCTTTGCATGTTTCCCCAAATGTGATAGCTCTTTATTGCTTCCAGAAGGAATTTACTCTCAAAGAGCTTGATTTTGCTTCCATTGAAAAAAAACTTTTGTTATTGATTCTAATGAGAGCAGCACCCAGCCTAATTCTCTGCCTCACCCGGCAGAGCTACTGTGCATTAAAGAAGGGAATGTAAGAGGTATCAGACCAAACACTCTAGTTTCAGATTACAGCCCCGTTGAGCCTATTGCTAGGTGTAAGGAAAATTCTCATAGATCTCAACGGGAGGCTTTTCCAGTGTAAGGAGTATAGAAGCGAGACCTATGTGGGTGATCCTCTGTCCCAGTTCTGGGTTACCAGTGTCACTGCTGTGTTTAGACAAAACCTGAACCTAAATAACCATGCCACATCTTTACATGTAATTAAACCCTCACTAGGGATATCCTGGAATTGAAGGGTCCAGGGGCAAACCTGGCTTGGATGGCTGCAATGGTTCAAGAGGAGATCCCGGATTTCCAGGAGAGACAGGGTGTATTGGACCAAGAGGCTCATTTGTAAGTTATGAGCTTTATTATAATACATTTAAACTTTCTCTCCAGGTTAACACCTTTTAAAATTAAAGGGACATTAGACTATGGCACTAGGCTTATGGCTCTGGCTACCCGAGCTCATGTCAGACTGCTTCTACACTGCACCTTTTTTGAGCTGCTGACTGGGCTTCCCACTCCTGTTAGCTTCAGTGAAGTGGAGGGTGCTCAGAACCTTGCAGGATCCGGTGTTAGGTTAAAGATGAAATTAAGTTTGCTAACCCTTAAATTGAAGTTCTGCAATACTTGATCACACAAGAACTCCTTCAAGCTCAGGGAACGCAGTTGTGTCTGGTCTGGTCTTTATGCAGGGAAAGTTCCCTATGCTACACGCCACTGGGGTTATAGTATATAGACTCATAGACTTTAAGGTCAGAAGGGACCATTATGATCATCTAGTCTGACCTCCCGCATGATGCAGGCCACAAAAGCTGACCCACCCACTCCTGGAATAATTCTCTCCCTTGACTCAGCTGTTGAAGTCCCCAAATCATGATTTGAAAACTCCAAGTCGCAGAGAATCCTCCAGCAAGCGACCCCTGCCCCATGCTGCGGAGGAAGGCGAAAAACCTCCAGGGCCTCTGCCAATCTACCCTGGAGGAAAATTCCTTCCCGACCCCAAATATGGCGATCAGCTGAACCCCGAGCATGCGGGCAAGATTCTCCAGCCAGACCCTCCGGAAAAAAGTTCTCTGTAGTAACTTTTAGTATCCCATCACTGACCATTGTTACTAATTACCAGCGATGGCACGTTATTGACCTATTGACTAAAATCATGTTATCCCATCAAACCATCCCCTCCATAAACTTATCAACTTAATCTTAAAGCCAGAGAGGTCTTTCGCCCCCACTGTTTCCCTCGGAAGGCTGTTCCAGAACTTCACCCCTCTGATGGTTAGAAACCTTCGTCTAATTTCAAGCCTAAACTTCCCGACGGCCAGTTTATATCCATTTGTTCTCGTGTTCACATTAGAGAGCTGTGTAGGAAACATACTTGCATATATACCCACACCCTTCAGGCGTGCCTTTACTCTACTTGCCTAAGCTATGCCTCACCGGCTATACTACCGTTTATACCCATGCTAGGGGGACTGTATGGGTATGTACCCCATATGCAGCTGAAAGAAGCATGCTGTGTAGCCATACCTTGAGACACACACAAGCACCTTGTGCTCCCATGTAATAGCCAGCCACAGTCTGGCCCCGAGGTATATTTTATAAGACTGAAATTACCTTTAAGATGATTAGCTTTTCCCTCTGAAAACAGGAAGTGTGTCTGAATTAAAATTGGTCCAATATTTTAATACTGGCTAAAGGAGATTAAAAACTCAGAACCAGATACTCAGTTGGTGGAAACTGGTATAGCTCCAGTGACTGTAATGGAACTATGCTGATTTACATCAGCCAAGGATCTGACCCACAGTCTTTGACCTTTTGCAAAAACACGGGTCATTAGGTTAAGGCTCTAAATTTTCTAAACTAAACAATAAACTGTTCTGGATGTTATGCTAAAGTCAAACCCATTTAACTGAAGGTACTTGGTTGATCACCATGTGTAAGCATTATACTACTTGAAAGACATTAGAGGTCACCGTGTTTGCTGTATTTGAGCCTTAGTTTAATAAAAGGGTCATCTGAGGGAAGACGCAATGAATTGATTAATCTGTGCCAAAGTTAGTACTGTGCTGTTAGCACCATTTCTGACCGTTACCCTATGGCCTTATTATATTTATTGTTTGTAATCCAGGAATGCCCCACGACATGGCTAGTATTGCTCACACTAATAGCCTGAGGCCCTGACTCAGCAAGTTACTAAAACACATGCCTAACTTTAAGCATGTGAGCAATCCTATTGAAGCCAGTGAAACTATTCAGATGCTTAAAATTAGGCATGTACTTAAGTTCCTTGCTGAATCCAGGCCTAAGAAAACAAGCAATATACAAGCAAAGGGTAAAGCAGAGGGATAAAACATGATCCAAATATGATAATTAACCCTCCCGACATTTCTGGTGGCGCACTTTTAATAGGCTGCAACATGCCACCAGCACACAATTTGATAAAAATCAAACCCACTACACCTTTCAGAACAATAAAATAACTTCTGTTCAACATGGTAATGGTAGCTGCTAGGAAATCTCTGACTGTACTATGTCTCATGGACTAGACTGTCACCTACAAGAAGTAAAGGGATGAGATAAAAGAAAAAGTGAGACATGGAACAAAATTATAGCCTGAATCCGGCTGGTTCAAGGAAATCTGAGCCTTTGCAGACCTATCACTCCCAGCATATAAAAGAACATAAAACAACAGACACGCAGTCTTGGATCCGAACTAAAATGCCAACACCAATACATTGGGCTTTCTAGGAAAACATGACAAAGTCAGAGCAAATATCTTAATTATCTACTTGAGTATAATAATGCCACACCAAGCTCTGTATATAGACTGACTCCAATTTACTAACTGATTTATTGCACCAAATACCCACTTGATTACCTACTGCCAGTATCACAATGGACTGTTAATTTCCCTGTTTCTTCCTGTTTATATCATTTTCCTGTATAATTTCATAAATAAACTAAATACATGTTAATTTCACTTATCTTAAATATATACCTATTACTGTCCCTTTAAATTACAAATAAATGGTTGGAAAAATTAAAGGAAGGGTTGACAATATAAAATCCTAGCTTAAGAAGCTGAAAAGGTGACAAGATTCATTTAATAAAAATATTTTGTTGTACAAAGAAATCAAACTTGAAATTTGTTTCGAGACATAAGTGTAAATAAGGCAGAGGTAAATACAGCTTTCAGTGTGACAGTTCCAGAAAGGCCTCTGTTTAACAGGTCCATTCTGCTATAGAAGTGTTTTTCAAAGTTCAGGTTGCTACCCAGTACTGGGTCGCGGCATGTAAGGCACTGGGTCACTCTGGTCAGCACCATCGACTGGGATGTTAAAAGTCCTGTCGGCGGTGCTGCCCAGCTAGGGCAGGTTAGTACCTAGATGTTCCGACACCGCGCTGCGCCCCGGAAACGGCCAGCAGCGGGTCTGGCTTCTACGTAGGGGAGCCACGGGGCTCCACATGCTGCCCTCGCTGCAAGCACCGCTCAGCCAATGGGAACTGGAGGGCGGTGCCTGCAGGCGAGAGCTTGCGCGCCTCTGCCTAGGAGCCAGACCTGCTACTGGCTGCTTCAGGTGCGGGAACCCTGCCTCTGCACCCCGGCTGCACCGCTGACCGGGAGCCGCCGGAGGTAAGTCCATGCCCCAACCCCACACCCCAATCTCCTGCCTCAGCCCTGAGCCCCCCCCAAACCTGGAGCCCCTTCTGCACCCAAACCCCTCATCCCCGGCCCCACCCCAGAGCCCTGACCCCCTCCCGCACCCCAACCCCCTGCTCCAGCCCTGAGCCCCCCAGAACCCAGAGCCCCTCCTGCACCCCAAACCCCTCATCCCCGGCCCCAGCCCAGAGCCTGCACCCCCCAGCCCAGAGCCCTGACCTCCTCCCATACCCCAACCCCCTGCCCTAGCCCTGAGCCCCACCCAAACCCAGAGCCCCTCCTGCACCCCAAACCCTTCATCCCCAGCCCTGCCCCAGAGCCTACACCCAGAGCCCTGACCCCCTCCTGCATCCCAACCTCCTGCCCCAGTCCAGAGCCCACACCCTGCACCCCTCATTCCTGGCCTCACCCCGCAGCCCTCACCCCTGCACGCGAACTCTCTGCCCCAGCTCTGAGCCCACCCCAAACCCCTCATCCCCTGCTCCGTTGTGGGTCGTGGACGTCAACTGTTTTCTTCAACTGGGTCCCCAGAAAAAAAGTTTGAAAACCACTGTGCTATAGCTACCTCCAGCTGTATGCAGCTGCTGCTCTTCAATTTATTATTGCATTCCTGTGATAATTACTTTCCTATTCATTTCTGACCTCAAGCTTTAGAATGTCAGTGTAAGACTGGGCTGATACTGTGATTCATTGAGTACAGATTCTGGATATTTATGTTCTATGGAAGATGATATCCTGGTTCTATTGAAGTCCAGCCCTGGGGCATCCACGGAAAAAATATAGTGGGTGATTTTGCTAACTCTCATCGACAGCAGTAGGGCCAGGATTTCGCCAAGCGTGATTTTGGTTTATTGTGAGGAATAAGTGTTAAGGGATAAGTGTTCTGATATATCCATTCCTTCTGTGTACATCATGCCCTTCATAGTTAATTAAGCACAGACATTCTGTTTTGCAGGAGCAATGAAATCTGTTCCTGCTGAAGCAGGTTAAGATTTTGTGGGTACCAAGACAAGCAAAGTTATGTGTGGACTCTACAGCAAGTCCCATGGACATCACATTAGACATCACATTTATTTTTGGTATAAAGTATATGTACTAATGATCGAAGAATTTAGTTTCTTTAGGTTCAGCAATCGGTAGCTCCAGATTTCCTACTTTAAACAGGATACCACTGGCTTCTTATAAATCCTGGTATGAATTTCTAGGAAAGGTAAAGAACTTACACGCTGGTAGCCACTGCATCCATTGAAATTAAATATGGCTGGGAGTTATAGAGAGTATTAATGCCATCAAAACTGAGAAGTTATCACTGAAACTGTACAGTAGCTTAGAGTATCAGAGGACAGATCATAATGTTATTACAGAACATAATCTGATTTTTAATTACTGACTGATTTTTCAGGGTGTTCTTGGGCAAAAAGGAGAAAAAGGAAACTCTGCATATATTTCAGATTTCATTAGAGGTGCTCCAGTAAGTATATTATTGTGGAAATAATCATAAAATGTAGGCAGACATGTATAGCAAATGTAAGTATTCTAATAACTCTAAATTGTTTAATAAAAGCTAATTTATCTCTTTTAAAAATGGAAATTAAATGCAAATATGTTAACTGCAGTATACAGATTGAGATATTAATTGTCCTAAAGTCAGGAAATTCTCACAACAGCTATAAATTGCCCCCCAACTCTCTAGGGATATATAGACAGGCCATTAAAATTAACATTGTATACAGTAATGGAAAATTCTACAAATGTACAAAAGAAGCTGAATTAGGGTTGCTGTGGGAATCAGAACTTCAAATTGCCATGGACATTTATGGAAGTATAATCTCAGCCTTGTATGTACACAGGGCCAAATCCTGACCTAGAGCCAAACACTTGTTGAATTTTGGGGCTGACGGGTAACACAATTGGCACAGTGAGTTGACATAACACATGGATGAAAGCTTTGTAGCTGCTTCTCTCAGTAAGATGCCTCTGTGCTCCCTAATTGCTTCCAGTTACTGCTTGCTGCTGATTGGAGGTTTGGTTTAGTATGCATCTGCTTCCTGCACACCACATCCATTTGGAGGTATCATTATTATTGTTTCTAACAGTGCCTATTATGTACTAGGTGCTTTTCAAACATAAAAGAAGGCATGGACTCTGCCCCAAAAGAGGTTATACTCTGGCTCCGATCTTGCAAACACTTATGCACAAATTAACTTTACCCGCCTTTGCAGCATTGGGATCTAAAAGACAGAGCAGAGAGAGAGAGAGATGGAGGTTCAGGGAAAGGGGAACAGCAAACTAGTAGGATACTGATAAACAAACCAGTAAGGTACTGGGATTGGCCACATCATGATAATGCAAAATTTTAATGATGCTTTAAAAGAAAAAACAAACTTATGAGCATATCCTTAACTGGTGTAAATAATATAGTTCCACTGATGTCAGTGGAGCTATGCTGATTTATACCAATTGAAGTTCTAGACCTTTCTATCTCAAGTTGTATAAACTAATCCTTCACTACCCTACAACCATGACAAAACTCCCATTGAATTCAGCAGGGCTGGCTTTAGCAAGAGCGGGGCCCGATTCCGGCAAGCCCCGCCCCCAGGAATCGGGCTGCGCTCCGGCTGGAGCTCCGGCCGGGGTCTTGGGGCTTGGGTCCAGGCTGGAGCCGCTGGGACCGGAGCCAGAGCCGCTGGGGCCGGGGGTGCTCGGCCACCAGCCGGCGCCGCTCAGCCAGGGCCGGAGCCGCTCGGCCGGAACCGGGGCCCGAGCCGAGCCAGGCCGCAGCCGCTGGGACCGGGGCTGGGGGTGCTCGGCCGCCGGCCGACGCTGCTCGGCCAGAGCCGGGGCCGGTGCCCCTGGGCCCAAGTCGAGCAGGAGTCTCTAGGGCCGGGGCCGGGGGTGCTCAGCCGGCGCCGGGCAGGAGCCGCTCGGCCGGAACCGGGGCTGGCGCCCCAAGGTCCGAGCCGGGCCAGAGCCGCCGGGGTCGGCCGTCAGAGGGAGCCGCTCGGCCGGGGGGGCCGGACTGGGCCGCGCCTCCTCGCGCCCCCCCTCACCCCCAGCTTACCTGCTGCCTACCTATTTCAGGCTTCCCGCGAACATTTGATTCGCGGGAAACAGGGGAGGGGGAGGAGCAGGGGGGCAGAGCGTTCAGGGGAGGGGAGAAGGGGGAAGTGAGGCGGGGTGGACAGCTGCTGCGGGGCCCTCTTGGCGCGGGGCCCGATTCAGCCGAATCGGCTGAATCAGCCTAAAGCCGGCCCTGGAATTCAGTCGAGCAGAGCAGACACATAGTGAGTGCTCTGCCATGGTAGTCATGCACATCTCTTGGTGGACTCACTCCTTTGTACTCTGGAGGGATGTTGCCTGATGCTTGAAGATAGGAAGAACGTTTCCTTCTCTCTTCTATTCTCTCACGCAGCGGTACACCAGAATGCAGGCTGTGGCTCATTATCTTTTGCATTTAATCTTCAATTCATCTGGAATTAGATTAATAGTAAAAACTTTACTTAACCCTATGTTTAAATGTAGGGGGTTTTGCTAACTTGAATACAGTAGAGTGAAACTGTTGAGCGAAGAGCTGGAGCTGTCACCCTTTATTAATAATTCATTTTTCATACATGCAGTTTGGGAGTATTTTTATGATTTAAAGTAAAATCAAATCAACAAAAGTATAATCAAATACATGACTTCAACTGCTCTCCTATGAACTGTTCCTTGTTTTAGAGACCCATAGGTGCATCTGTATATGAAGTCAGTTATTGTTTTTCTGTATTTTCTTCATTATTGGACATTTTTGTGTTTTCATAAAGGCTTTCTCCCTTAATGTTTCCTCTTTCCTTTTGGTTGACCCAGTACTGACATCATAATCCTGTACTAATGACACTAGTCTGTTGCCCTGGAAATCATTGTGTTGTCACTAATTCATCATTATGTCTTAACTGTGAGATCAAAATGAAAATTTGGGCTTGAGGAAGCCAATTTTCCTTTAAAATACTAAAAGCTTTAGTATGTAGATAACATTATAAAATTTCTTAGAAAAATTTTCTGGAAAATATTTAAATGTATGTTAGTAGTTAAATTATATATCTAAATGTTGCGATATCAAGTTCTTTAAACCCAAAGCTTGATGTCATTTAAATGATTATTTCTGTGTGATGAAAAATCACATGTTGGCTCACAATTCTGTCATAAAGTGAAAGTGTGATCCTTTACAGTAACTCCTCACTTAACGTTGTAGTTATGTTCCTGAAAAATGTGACTTTAAGCGAAACGATGTTAAGCGAATCCAATTTCCCCATAAGAATTAATGTAAATAGGGGGGGTTAGGTTCCAGGGAAATTTTTTTCACCAGACAAAAGACTATTATACCAGACAAAAGACTATACTATTACACACAGTATAAGTTTTAAACAAACAATTTAATACTGGTACACAGCAATGATGATAGTGAAGCTTGGTTGAGGTGGTGGAGTCAGAGAGTGGGCTATTTCCCAGGGAATGCCTTACTGCTAAATGATGAACTAGCAATTGGCTGATTTCTCAAGGGTTAACTCATTGTTGTTAATGTAGCCTCACGTTCTACAGGGCAGCACGAATGGAGGGAGTGGAGAAAGCATGGCAGACAGAGACAGAGACACACACTGTGTGTGTGAGAGAGATGTGAATTGCTCCTTTAAGAATGCTGACCCCACTCTAAGTACATTGCCTTTTTAAGTTGATCAGCAAGCTGAGACAGCAGCTGCTGCCAGGAAACTCCTGCCGTCCTGAGCCCTGTTGTGTGTCCCCCCCCGCTCTATGGAAGATGGGGTAAGCGGGGGGCAGGAGCTGGGGGGAGGGGGACACCCTGACATTAGCCCCCCTCATTTCCCCCCACCCCCGCACAGCAAGCAGGAGGCTCCCGGGAGCAGCTCCAAGGCAGAGAGCAGGAGCAGCACATGGGGAGGGCAGCTGAACTGCCAGCAATTGGTAGCCTGCTGAGCAGCTGCCGCACAGGGAACTTGGGGGAGCGGGGAGCTGATGGGGGGCTGCCGGTCCATCCTGGTTCCAAGCCCCCACCAGCTAGCTCCAACGGGCTGCTCTTCCTGCAAGCAGTGGACAAAGCAGGCAGCTGCCAGACAACATTATAAGGGAGCATTGCACACCTTTAAATGAGCATGTTCTCTAACTGATCAGCAACGTAACAATGAAACAACGTTAATCGGGACAACTGTAAGTGAGGAGTTACTGTATTTAGCAAAATACTTGTCATTCCAGGGAGCAAGAGGTGAACCGGGCCCCCCTGGCACACCTGTAAGTATCTTCCTGCAGCTCACGTATATGCTTGTTTGTTTTGAACAACATACTGTAGCATGAGTACATTACTTCCATGTATTAAGAGTGAGTAATCCTTACTTATGAATGTTCTAATTGAAAATGTAATAGTGAATGATAGTAGGCGAGAGAACAGATCAACAGCTTTTAGCCTGACTTGCCTTCACTATTACCATGAGAGATTAAAGGTAGTGTAGGAAAAGCAGAAGATGATAGAGTGTATCATGAGTGAGGCTCAAGCTGATGTGATTGGAAGTGCTAGGCTGCTTCACTTTTGGAGCACACAATACTAGGTGCAAGAGGAGAAAAGTCACAAGAATAGATGAGCAGGCCAACATAGCCAGGTCACGTTCACCCACACCGGCTGTGAGGAACAGAAGCAGAGATTGCCCATGCTTCCCACATTGCAAGTGGTCTTGGTCCAGTGGATCTGCAGGGTACTGACCAACTGATGCCCTGTCACATTCACGAGCCGCAGGAAATCTCTGTGACAAGTAAGCAGTGGATGGCAGAGCCTCACTGTGTGGGGCTGCTGGGTCTTCCCAGAGTGTGCCGAGCATCCTGGAATTTGGCCATAAAAATAAAATCCCAAATGAAATCTTTTCTGTTTTTTTGTTAAGCAGTCGTCCTCCCTATAGCTCAGGGACCCTCTTTTTTATATCCCAATGGCTATAGCATTTCCAGTGCTTTGGTAACCTGAGCTTAATTCTTTTCAATGTGCTATTATTTATATACATGACTAGTATGTACTAGAGCAGGGGCAGGCAAACTTTTTGGCCTGAGGGCCGTATCGGGTTTCATAAATTGTATGGAGGGCCAGTTAGGCGAGGGGGTCGTGGCCCGGCCCCCACCTTCTATCTGCCCCCCCCCGGGACCCCTGCCTCATCCAACCACCCTTCTCCCTGTCCCCTGACTACCCCTGGAACCCCTGCCGCCCCATCCAACCCCCCCTCCTTCCTGACTGTTCCCCCTGGGATCCCTGTCCCCATTCAACCCCCTGTTTTCCCCCCCCGACCGCCCCTACCCCTATCCACACCCCCACCCCCAACCACCACCCTGAACTTCCCTGCCCTCTATCCAACCCCCCCTGCTCCCTGCCCCCTTACTGCGCTGCCTGGAGCACCAGTGGCTGGTGGCGCTACAGCCGTGCCACCTGGCTGGAGCCGGGCCACACCGCCGCTGCCACCACACAGCTCAGAGCACCGGGTCAAGCCGGGCTCTGCAGCTGCGCTGCCCCAGGAGTTCACAGCCCCGCTGCCCATAGCATTGCGCCGGTGGCGGGGCGAGCTGAGGCTGCGGGGGGAGGAGGAACAGTGGGGGAGGGGCCGGGGGCTAGCCTCCCAGGCCAGGAGCTCAGGGGCTGGGCAGGACGGTCCCGCGGACCGGATGTGGCCCCCGGGCCGTAGTTTGCCCACCCCTGTAGTAGAGAGACTAGTGTGTACTGGATGAGCAATTACATTTTTTTTACTGTCTAGCAAAGTTATGAAGTTAAGCTCCCAGACTCATCTTTTGAAAGTGTTATGCAAGTTTCCTTTAAGGATGAGGACTGAGAGGTCAGATAAGGAGTGATCATTTTGTGAATCTGTTCCGCCTTCTATTTAGCTGTGACACCCTTACCACCTTTCCCAAACCTGAAGAAGAGCTCTGTGTAGCTCAAAAGATTGTCTTTCTCACCAACAGAAGTTGGTCCAATAGAAGATATTACCTCACCCACATGTCTTTCTGATATCCTGGGATAAACATGGCTACAAGGCCACCGCAAACAACAATAGTCTATACTAGTATAACTGTAATGTACTATGTACTAGTACACATAACCATATACATAGCGTCTGTACTGCATGACCTAGGAGTTGTTCTAGAACATCAGTCAAATCGGAATAAACAGGCTGCCAGTTGTATATGACTGGAATAGTGCCAATGGGCCGTAGATGGAGTCCAAGTGATATAGGCATTTAGGAGCTTAATGAGAATTTGGAGCCACTATGTGACATGTTGAGCAATTCTGTGCGAGGAAGAAATTAAGATGCTAGTGTTTTCACAAACAGATACATCTTTTGTCCTCTTTTTCAGGGACCTAGAGGAGCTAGGGGACCAATGGGCCGACATGGATTGCCAGGCCAACCAGGCTTGCAGGTAAGACTGGCACTGTTCTATAATACTGCATTTTGAGATCATATATAAATGCTTGTCCACTCATCTAAAAAGTTCAGCCCCAGTATAAATTCATGCCTAGACATTTGCTATAAGGCAGTTAATTAAAGGGCCTGATTCTGCCTGGCACTTACACAGGTCTGCAGTGGGAGAATGAGAGTACAAGAACCCTTCCACATGCTTGTGCACACACATGTAAGGTCCAGGCAGAATTCCAATGGGCACAGAGAAGTGCTGGTAATGCTCTCTCCCGACTCCTTCCCTGCAACCAAAGCCCTGAAGGAGGCAGGGAAGATATGGAGCCAGAGTTCCACACCACCAAGGGTGGACAAGTGGAGCAAGGGATGGGTTGTGCAATCCCATAGGGAGATAAGGCAATAGGCACACAGCCTGTGCACCTCAGGTGAGCTCTGGGAGAAATTTTGCCTTCAGGTGCTCCCTCTAAAGAGTTGCAGCTCTGGATCATTCTCAGTGAAAAGCTTTGCTTTCAAGTCAGAATATTAAGTTGTTTGACTCTCTTTTTTAAAGGGAGCTACAGGCCTTCCTGGTTTGCAAGGTGAACAGGTGAGTGTCTGCTTTCCATGGGGTTTGTACAGTTTCAGTGAAATATATATTTATGCTGATATTTAAAGTGTTCTTTGACTATTTCTGTTAGCAAAGTTTCAAAAACTTTAATTGTTAAATTATTTTGCAAGGATTTTTGTGATTATTTTTACTCACCATCACTAGTTTTAATTTTTTTCTTTAGGGCAATCCAGGTATTGGAGTGGATGGACAAAAGGGGGAGCCGGTAAGCAAACAATTAATGGTATTAAAGGTGGCCGGGATGTAGAATTAAATATATATATTGCTTAGGAAAATACGTAGTCCATATAGTTTTACTTAGCATACAGTTTTTATGGTTAGTTACAGATGTCCATATAGTTTTACTTATGAGACAGTCCCTCTAGCCCTGCCTTGATCCTGCACAGAGATCCGTGTAGGCAGACTGCGATCTGCTTGAAGTCCTACTGACTTCATTGGCGCTCGAAGTACCATGGTATAGTATGGTATCGTATATACTCCTGTAATGGATATAGGGATCATTACCTTCTTTTGATTGAAAGAGTCCCGGCTGGTTGACAGGCCTCTGCAGAGCTCTTTGTACCCACAAATCAGCAGAAGCTGTTCTATAAGAGTAGAGATATTAGTGTTGTAAGTAGGAGATTTAAATGTTTTGGAGCCATGCAGAGCCAGTGTGTTGAACCAGATGTCCATTTCTACTGCTTCTCTGGCTTTTACAGGGTGATGTTGGACCTCCTGGATCTCCAGGACAGCCATTGTTGGTTTGGCCGCCCGGTTCTTTCCTGGTTAAAGGAGAAAAGGTTTGCAAATTAAAGTCTATTTTTAAGCATTACTGTACTCACTTTACTGGAAGTGCTATCCCATGATGCATTTTTGCACAGATTTTATATTAAGGACATTTATTTTATTGAGTAATGTACCACCATTATCAATAGAAATGCTGTTATCCAGTATTGTACTGGCAGACAGAGGCCAGGCCAGCCATCATGTTACTGCTGCAGCCCACCTATTCCCTCCATGAGGTGACTCTGTGCCATAGCAGGAGGGTAAAAGGAAATACCATTCCCCTTTGTCCTTTTTCCCCACTCTGCACCATTGACAAACTGCCTGAGAGCTAGGCTAAATTTACACACATTAGCAAAAACTCACTAAGAGTCTGTCAAGACTGATGCTATGTCTACACTACACAGCTTTTAGTGACATGGCTATGTTGCCACAGCCAAGCCGCTAAAAGTCATTCAGCAGAGCCGCTGTTTGTTGATTCTCCTGCCGACAAAAAACTTCTACCCCCAATGAAGGCATTTGTGTTGTCGGCAGCAGAGTGCTCCTGCCGACAGTGCGCTGTTCACACTGGCAGTTGTCGCAGCAAAACTTTGTCCTTCAGTGGGGAGGGGTTTAACAGTTCTGAAAGACAAACGTTTTGTCGTTCAGTTGCCAGTGTAGACATAACCTTATCATCTCTGGCACTAAATCCCTTTCCCTACCCATCTCACAGTTTCATTCATTTCCTTAGACCTTTGTATTTAATTTATCTTATTGGAGAGATGTATTAGATTTCTTCAGCAAGTTTCAGGCTCTGCTGAAGACAGGTCAAACTGTCAGGCAGCCAACCTTGATGTATTACTTATGAAAAATAAGTGTGGTCCCCGTATCTATTTTTGAATATGAAATCATGGTATTTAGAGTAATTCCTCTATGACAGGTGTGCTTTGGCTAGAGTTGTAGCACCCTAGGTAGTCAAAATGGATAGAATAATCCTAGCAATTTACTCTACAGAGTGATGGACTGTCCTTTGCTGTAGATCCTAAAGCATTTAAAATGCACCTCTGGTCTAAAAAACAATTGTAAAAATTGTATTGTGGAGTTCTATATTGGAATCTCAGTGATGCTCAGATCTAATTAACATTATATACAAATGGAAAGATATTTGTTGCTAATGGCCAGCTCAGCAGAGACAAGGTGGGGGAGGTAATATCTTTTATTGGACCAACTTCTGTTGGTGAGAGAGACAAGCTTTCAAGCCACACACAGCTCTTCTTCAGGTCTGGGAAAGGAACTCCTAGGGCTGGTCTACACTGGGGGCGGGGGTCGATCCAAGATATGCAACGTAGCTGAAGTCGAAGTATCTTGGATCGAATTACCTGGGGTCCAGACGGCGCGGGATCGATGGCCGTGGCTCCCCCGTCGACTGCGCTACCGCCGCTCGCTCTGGTGGAGTTCCGGAGTCGACGGTGAGCACGTTCGGGGATCGATATATCGCATCTTAACGAGACACGATATATTGATCCCGGGTAAATCGATTGCTACCTGCCGTATCGGTAGGTGAAGACGTATCCCTAGTCTCACAGCAAAGTGCAGGTGGAAGAGATTGTTTAGCATAAGTAGTTAGCACGTATTGTAAGGAACCAATCAAGTCTGCAGCACATATTGTAAGGGACCATTAACACATATTGTAAGGGTCCATTCCAGGTCTGCAGACTCAATCTGGGAAATGAGAGTCAAGCTGGGATCTTTCCTGCTGTGAATCACTCACAGTAATTTTGTCCTCAGTTACAGCTGTGCAACTCTGACTCAGGGCAAAAATTTGCTTTGTAATGTCAAGCTTTTTTGACTCTACACACGCACAGGTTACAGTCTGAATGAGTAACAAGGTGCCATATTTACAGACACTTTTCAGAGCAGAACAAAACTTCAGAATTATACAAGACAAATATATTCTGCATGCTAAAATGAAAAAATTCTACATGTTTATATTTAGGGTGTAAAAGGAATGCCTGGGTTGGTAGGACCCAAAGGATCACATGGGCCCAAAGTAAGTAACATGTTTTGTTATGCATTGTTCCATTTCCTTCTAGCAATAAAGATATTTAAGGACTGCAATAGGTTACCAAGGGAGGTTGCAGAATCCCCATCATTAGAGGTTTTAAAGAACAGATTAGACAGGGATGGTCTAGGTTTACTTAGACCTGCCTCAGGGTAGGGGGATGGACTAAATGACCTCTCAAGGTCCCTTTCAGCTTTACATTTCTATGTTTTGATCATTCTCTGATTTCCTAAATGATGCTGGCAGAGTTTCCTTTTGTGTTACTAAAAACACCTTTTCAGTGAGTGAATGACTTAGGAAATAACATAGCATTATACTGTGGAATTTAATCATCACACAAACCAATGTGAAAGCATAAATGTTGCAAAATCTTCTGGAAAAATCTGTCCACCAACAATCTCTTTTACAGCTGACTATCAAATGTTGCCTCACACAGGCATATCAGTCTTTTTTCAATTAGAAGGTAAGGAAGCAGAAAGGACAGCAAACTCCAGGTTCATCCCTTGCAGATGGAGTGGGATTTTAGAGGTGTGAAGCGCATAGGAAAGGAAGCCTCCCTACTCCACAGGTCCTGAGTATCCTCAGGAAAGCTCACTGCAAAGTTACTAGTCCCCCAGCCCCCAGCATAGTTCCTTTAGCATTTGTTCTGCCCCAGGAAGTCTCCCATGCTGCTGTAAGAGTAATAGTCAGAGAGCAGACTCTACAGCATTAACATATATTTTCTGAAGGGAAATCCATAGGGCCTCATGGAAGCAGAGACAGTTCTTAGGGCCAGGATCTTTTTTGGAGTAAGGAAAGGGAGAGAAGAGTGCACACAGTTAATATCTGCTGAGAAGTAAATTATGATCCAGAGTATTAATTTCTGTACTTTGAGTCCAGGCAGCACCTTTTCTTTCAGCCATTTCCTGCCACATAGAAATGCAAGTCAGTGGAACTACTCCATGTGGGTTTGGGAGGCAAAACCAGGGCTTCGGGGTGTGGAGTAAGAACTGCATTTTCTCTTTATGTATTATTTTTAAAAACTTGTTTCCTGTGTGTTGTCCCTCCTTGCAAATAATTTTATAAATAAATCTTGTTCCTGCTTATTTATAACCGATAAATGCACTGGCACCTTAAAATCCCAAAGGTTATTCTTAGCTAGGAGAACAGCAGGTGTATCTACTCCTGGGTAATTAAAGCCAATGGACACTGGGGTGAATGGAATGTGAAATCAATCTAAGATATCTGGCCCTAACCAGGGGCTGTAAATGAAGTCCATAACACTGATATTTGTGTTTTTACTTTTTCTGCCCATGCACACATTGCAAACTCTCTAGGACTGTCATCTCTGGGTAATCTTTTTAAACAGAGTGTTTTGAATGATAATAGGGTGCACCTGGAAATGGAGAGAAGAGTGAAAAAGGTATTCCTGGAGTCCCTGGAATGCAGGTAAGGAAACTTCAGAATAAACCATTTCAAGTACTTATCATAATTAGTTTATAAAATACTAGGTAGTTAGTTTAAATATGTTAAGATAATTCAAAACAGGATTTTAAGATGCTTCAAATTAATCTTCATTGCTTTGTACATAGAGTACTTTGATTCCTAAAACAAGGTATTCATGTGTTCCAGACTCAAACGTAAATCCAATTAGATTTTGATGTCCTTGCAAAGACAAAAAATTTGGAATCTGATCTTGTAAATATTTACTACTGGACAAAGTGTGGACTGCTCTGAGCAGCCTTGACAAATTCAATGGGACTGCATCAGAGTAGTAAGCACTTCCCCAGAAGTGTTTTCAGGACTGCACCCTTAATATGTATAGTATTTCTCACATCAGACTTTTCCAAGGCTCTTCATGATACAGTATAGTAGAAATTAGAATTGGGCCCAATCTAATTTGACTGTGATCCATTGTTCTAGGTCATATCCATCTTTTAAAAAATATTTGAAAAGATGTTGCAGAAACTAGTTACTGGGGAACATTATAGCAAATAAATAGTTCTTTCACACAAACTTGTGCAAGAAAGAACATTTATATTAAATAAATTGGAAATAGATATAAGTAATAATATAAGACTGGCTTCTGTTGTTTTGGTTTTCATTCTACTTGCTTTTAATTAGGGTAGCCCTGGTTCTTGTGGAGCTCTCGGTTTTCCAGGAATAAAGGTAAGGCGATATAAAAATACAATGACACAGGCATGGCAGCTCATGCATGTTGCCATTCACTTTTAGGTACATTTTTCTTTTTACATTATATGGTCTTCTGGTTGATGAGATAGCAGTTTTCCAATATAGTCTGCTGTAAATCTGAGTTCTGAATCTATGCACCACACCAGATTTAAAACAGCGTGGACACAGCTACATTTGCATAAATCTTTCTCCTTTTCCTGCCTGTACTCTCCAAATCTAGTTAAGGCCACAGTTACACTAGTCATTAATTGTAACTACTGTGCAAATTACTCACTCCTGAATTGCATATCCAAGTATCTGTTTTGCCTGTATTACTTTCCTTTATACATGGCTAATGAATTAAACCCACTATCTACCCAGAGAGTCCTTGTAGTCTATCGGGTAGGTATATTAATAGAACTCAACAAGAAAGGGGGCACTGTGGCTTCAGATGAAGCTGAAGTGAGGCTGCTTCCCACCTACTTGTTCTTGTTAAGGGTGCTGTCATTCAGCAACCAATCAGCCAGTCCCAGCTGGATTAAGCAACAGTAGTCTGCTCATGGCAGACGAGCTTGTGCTCTTGTCCTGCCACCAGGAGTCCCCAGGCACTGTCCAAATAACTGGGTGACAGTTAAAAGATCTTTTCTTTTAACATAAGAGATCCCTTAAAAATGTATAATCTACAAAACCAAATCCTATACAGTGCTGTGAAACAATGTATAATTATTAACAGATGACAGTATTGTATGGTATGACACGTTAACTAATTTCTAATACACATTTAACTATATGACATGTAGTCCTATCAAATTAATACACAGAGACATTTCTGTCATTGGTTCCAGGGGGAAAGTGGAGTTCCTGGTGTTCCTGGTCAGGCTGGTTATGCAGGTATAAAGGTAAAAGTGCAGAAGCCCTTTATGTTTTGGTTAGCTAAGATCATTATCAGGTGTACTAGCTTGTCAAGCCACAGCCCTCTCCTCATTCAAATTATTCTAAAACTCACTTCTTCCATGATGTCTACAACAAATGAGGCAGCAATAAGCATTAACAAACAAACAACTTTTGATTGAATCACCATGGTGTACACATATCTAACCTAAGTAATTTAATATCAGTATTATTATTTATTTGTATTATTGTAGCACCTAGGAGCCCCAGTCATGGACCAGGACTCCATTGCATGAGACACATTACAAACAGAACAAAAAGTTAGTCCATGCTGCATACACTTTGGAGTCTAAGTAACTACATGATCTTGTTGCTGTAATCCTCACTCTTCCTCTCCCCATCCATTCTGTCATTTTAAAATTAGCTTGTAAAAGTATCAGGGCTGGGGCCACGTCTTTCTATGTGTACTGTAGAGATCTAGCTACTTTTGGGCACTGTACAAATACTACATAATAACAAATATTCACAGTCAGCAAATAAACCTTAAGTATATGTTAGCAGATCTTAAAATATTTTGCAAGTTTGAAAGCAGAGAAATAAACCTATTTGTTTTGTTTTTCTTTTTTTGCATGATGAAAACCTTTTTGCTTTATTATCAAAGAAGACAAACTTAGGTTGCTGTTTAAAATAGCTAGAAGGGCCACAATTATAGTATTACAGTCAATAAAATAAGTTGAACGGAAAAAGTTCCTGCAGCTGTTGAAAAGGGGAGCAGTCAACAATAGCTCCCACACTGTCAGAGGCTCAGATACTACAGAGATGGCAGCAGGATAAAAACTTATAAAAATGAGCATCCAGTTTTATAGTCCCAGTTCTCCAAGTCGCAGTCCTAAAGAGGCCCGCAGTCCCACCAGGCAATTCCCAGATTTCACAGAAAGAGATTGTACTTTCTTAGGCACCCAGTTCCTGTTTGCCATAGAGAGCTGGGTTGATGCCTAATCTACAAGAAAGAGGAAGTTGCAAAATTCCTCCATCACTGCTTCATTGATTTAATCTGTCATATCAGAGAGTCCTTTAACATCTGAAATTCACTTCTTCCCAATTCAAAGTAGATAATAGTACAAGCTAATTTAGAAATTCTCAAAACTGGTCCTGAAAAGATTTTCATTGCAATTATGTATATTGTATTTGTATGTTTCTCTGAAGCAGCTGGCTAAACTATCTGTAAGAACTTTGGTATCTCTTAACATGTCATTGTCTGTCAAAATATGGAAGATCTCTTTCCATCTTAGTGCTTACCTATCATTACGAAAAACCATTTCCCAATTTCTGTATAAAATTTTAAATCAAATCACTACATTTTAATGGCTAAATCAAAATAATTTTAATTAACTATATTTATAATAAGCCTTGTGCTATTGAATTTCCTGTAATTGACTCAATATCACTTGTGTTTAACACAATATACTAATGTAACTAGATATTACAGTCAGAGCTCTGAAAATTCAAGCAGACAAGCACATTTGAGCAGTCTATCCCAGTTAGTCACTGATTTCTTCAAAGATATTGAGTAGTTTTTATAGTATTGTATTAAAAAAAAAGAAAAATTAAATTAAAAATGTTAAGGTTTCAGAGGCAAACACTCAAAAATTAAGACATGTCCGAATTAAGGTTGCCATGCCCCCTTGTGTATATGGCTTATGATACCATCTTTAATTACATGGTGGCACTCTGCATGCTACTATCTATCAATAAACTTAATGAATTCTTACAGGGGGATCGTGGAGAACGAGGGCAACCAGGCCTGCCTGGAATTTTTGGAACACCACCTGTTGCTATGAAAGGTTTCACTTGGTTTTAACTACTCTTTATATTATGTAATGCATACAGGGCCCTGTGCTCTGAGGTGCTGAGAGCAATTGATGGGAGCATACTAAGCACCTCAGAACACTGGATCTCTACTGGCCACATTCTGTCATTGCCTGCACCTTGTTGATGTCAGTGGAATTGCATCGGATATATGAGAACAGGATTTGGCCCAAAGCATGTACTTCAGATAAATACATGTTAGCAGGACCTCAGCGCGCACACAAACACACCCAGATCTGTCAATTTATTCCTGGTTCTTAGATCTAAGAATATTTTAAAAATAGCTGCGAAGAGGAGGGCCATTCTGGGGACTGGCATGCAGATGAGCAGAGCACACCTCCTACAGCATTTCAGAATTCTTATATCCCGAATTGCCACAACATGTGGATTCTTGGCTTCAACTGAAGTCTGGGGTTGCAAACCTTGGTTGATAATCCTGACCCTAATGAAGTTGATGGTAAAACTCCCATTGACTTTGGTAGGACCAGAATTTCACCCCTAGGTTCTACCTTTTTTAAAAGTTATATCAGATTAATATAAACTCCAAAATGTATATATTATATTTCAATGTGGCTTTATGTGCTGGCGACCTAGTAACAGAATAATATGCTTAATACAGTATTATCATTAGCAGTTAAAATGATCTCATATTTGCAACATTATTGCAATAAAAACTTACGGACCTGCTGCAGCGAGTCTCGGAGCCTGGGTCTGCAGACTTGGATTCCCAGGACTCCCATTACAGCGCTGAAAATAGCAGTGTAGCCGTTCTCCACTTAGGCTCGAGTTTGGACTCTGAAGCCTGGGTAGGGGGCTGGATTTCAGAGCCCAAGCTCCAGCTGGAACAGGAATGTCTACACTGCTATTTTTCGTGCTGTAGTGAGACTGAGTCTGTATATCTGGGCTCTGAGATTTACTGCCACAGGGTTGTTGTGTGGGGTTTTTTTTGTATTTTTTCAGTGTAGACAAACCCAGATATACAGTGGGACAAATTCTTCTCCCATTGATATATTAGCATCCCCACTCAGGCCCCAATTCAACAGAACATCTGCAAGAGCCTGATCCAAAGACAGTTGAAGTAAATAGGTGTCTTTCTGTTGATTTCAATGGTCTTTGAGATCAAGTCACAGAGTACATAACCATGTGCTTAAATGGGATTTAAGGTTAAGCATACGCTTAATTGCTTTGCTGAAGTGGGGCCTAAGTGAGGTTGTTTGGATGTTAACCGAGAGCAGAATTTATACCAGTGTTTTGCTATTCCAGCTTAACTCCATTTTCTTCAACTGTGTATGATCAAATATAAATGTTCTTTTATTGATATATAGCTATAATAATAAATAATACTTCTGTTCATGGGCGGCGCGGCGCATAGGCTGGGGAAGGCTGTGCCGACCCAAACAGCCCGACGTGGCCCTGCCCACGTTCCTCCCCGAAGCCCTGCTTGTCCTTCCCCCTTGGCCCCAGCCCAGGCAGGCTGCTCCTCTTCAGGGAAGCAGCGTGCTGGGACTGGGGCTAGGGTGGCCGGGACTTGGGATGGCTGGGGCCATGACTACATATGATAAGAGTAGGGTGACCAGATCACACAGGTGAAATATCGGGATGCGGGGGGAAGGAGGGGCGGAGAAAAAAAAAATAACAAAAAAACGGAGCTCCACACCCCGCCCCCGCACCAGCTTGCCTCCACTCCGTCTCCACCTCCCCCCTCCCTCCAGCGCTTGCGCCGCCATACAACTGATCAGCGCAAGCGTGGGAGGGAGGGGGGAGGAGGAGGAATGCAGCGTGTTTGGGGAAGAGGCAAGGGGCGGAGTCGGGGCGGTGTGGGGGCGCGAGCCCGTGTGCCGGCCCGGAGCAGAGGCAAAATATCGGGACAATTCACGTCCCGACCGAAGGTAGGTCGGGACGTGGGACAAATAAGCAAATATCGGGACAGTCCGAATAAAATCAGGATGTCTGGTCACCCTAGAAAAGAAAGCCATTTTCTAAATGAAAGCAAATTCTCAATATAATCCTAGGTGAATGCTTCAAGAAGAGAAGTATTTTTTAAACAGAATCATGGGCGGTGGCACAAGATTGAATAGACAAATGGTGAATGGCACAAGATTTAAAATAATGTATGTAATAAAAGGGAAGGGCTCCAGTGATAAAAGCAACTAAATTCCCCTCCTTTATAATTAAATTACTTCACATTGAAACCAATGTAATAAAGAAAAGGTGATGTATTTTAATTATGAATGGTTCCCAAATAATAATTTCAGCTGGGACTAAAAGCTGTCAATTGCACAAGGTTTTAAATTGACATTTCCTGTAATCCCATATAGGTCCTCGAGGGGATCCTGGATCACCAGGTCCTTCTGGAGAGGAGGGGTTGATTGGACTAACTGGTCCTCCAGGCCCATCAGGAAGACCTGGTGAAGATGGAGCAAGTAAGAGATCATAGACTTATAAACATAAACTGTGAGCTCTATATACTGTCCTTGATCCACCTGCCAACAGAAACTGAGCACAGACCCAGGGAAGTCATGTGTTATTTTAACCTTTGCAACATTCAATGTGGGGAGGCCGGGTAAAAGAGGGAAGGTGATGTTGAGTGAAGAAGGATTACCTGGCAGTGGGGGATTAGCTGGATCCTTTAACTGTTCATTTCAGGGTTTCTGATGTTGGAGTGTTTTAAAAGGTGAAGATGACTTTTTGTAAAGAAAGGGTAACACTGGTTTTTATATCAGCACAACTTCACTGAAGCACACTTTCAACTTTAACTTCTTTTTAATTTTTGTTGTTATTGCTCACCTGTGTGTGTCCCATACATACACACACTCTCTTATATATAATGGACAGGACTTATATTAACCTCTGTCAGAAAAGACCTTAATGAAGAGGAGAGGGCAGCAGGACTAATGTGTTCCTCCTCTCCCCAGGAGTCTGTAACAGCTCTTTAGAGCCAACATCACATGGTTAGGTCTCTGACTTTGCAATGGAGTATCATGTCCGGGTGGGGGAAAACATGGCATTCACTTTACATGGCATCCTCTCCATTGGAACTAGTGAAAATATAACCTTCTAAACCACTGGTAGTTAACTCTGCTCCTTGCTGTCCCTTCACGTGAGGGTGGCTAGCACATGGTAGCAAGAGCAGCAAAGAGGGCACTGGAATAGGGGGAACAGTTTCTCCACAAGGCTGGAGCTTCCTTTCCCCATGGATCCTGAGGAACCAAAGGATTTGAAGGCCATGCCCCTGCCTCCTCAGCAGCCTCAGAAACCCATTTCCCCTGAGGTAAATACGAGTTACAAATTCCACAAGATAAACTTCAGAGACCTTGGCTTTTCTAGCCTCCCCCACCCCCCATGAAGCCTTTTCATAGGAGGTACTGTATGGCCCATAATTTCTTCTTCATAACTCTTAAATATTCATAATTGCTCTGTATAATTTATACTTACCTATTTTCCCGATAGGCCTCCCTGGTCTGCCAGGAGCATGTGGGGAACAAGGTCCTAAAGGTTCTCAAGGGAACCCTGGTCTCCCTGGAACAGCTGAATCAACTCCAGGAAGACTAGGGTCTCCAGGAGCACCAGGATTACCAGGAGCACCAGGAAGACAGGGTTTGCCTGGACCACCTGGTAAGAGAAACAGTACAAGTGTCTTGTGTGAGGAACATTATAAATAATTAATACATTTATGGAGTCAGTGAGAACATGCTAATAGAAATGGTATTTTCTTGTAGGCCTGCTCTATGGTGTTGCATCTGGTATACAGTAAATACAATACTTTATTTTGTTACTCTCTTTAGAATATTGTTGATTCTGTTTGAGAGGATAGGGGCCCATTCTTTTTGTGTGTGTAGCTTTTGAGTGGGAGGTCTTTCCCACTGTATTGGATTAATTAATTTTACAGCTAGGACTCCAACTGTTATCATTCTTATGTGAGATGTAGGGGAAATGTTTTTTACTATTAATTTTTTCATAGGAATCGTTAGCATAGAACCAATTTCTCTCATGTCTTTATATATTAAACTAAATCTAAATGTTCACCAGTAATCGTTGAGGTGTCAGGGTTTAGAAAGAAGCCAGTGTAGTCATTGTAAATAGCTGATGGCCTAGTTCTGATGGCTGTGCTGGATGATAGAGAACAGTAGAATTGTTGGAAGATTCCAGTGGAGAAAGGACAGTTGTAGGTATTCTTCCTTTTTAAAAAATATGCTGTGCCTGATTTTCTATTGTCGTGCACTTGTGCAGCCGTTATATCAATGCAAAGAGGGTGTAAAAAGTCACTATGTCTGAACTGTGACGTTTTGCAGTGGTGCAAAATGACCGCACGAGGTACATGGCAATAGTGAATAGACACACACTCTGTTCATTAATCATTTGAAAAGTATTTTTTCTTCAGGCCAGATCCTCAGCTGAAAACCTGGCTCTAATATTTTAATAGTTATTAAAATGCATTATGTAGTACATTAATTATTTGTAGGTTAAGTGTTCGAGTTTAACTTCTTTTGCTTCAGTGGAGGTACTCCTGATTAACACCAATATAATTGTGATTAGAATCAGGACCTTACTCTCAAGTTAAGCCTTAACTAACAGAGAACTACATCAATTAAAATGCATGGAATGTATGTGTCTAAATTGCCTAGATTGCTTTGAAAATCTCAAACTAAATCCAGAAGTCATGACCAAAACAGGGGGAAATGCCCCAAATCAACACCCATTAAAAGAGATATGAACCCCAATATTCTAATACAGAAAAAGGCAGTATCGGAGAGTAGAAGTGGACAGGAGTATTGCCTATAATCTTATTTTGATCTCTTCCATCCTCTAGTCTTACTCCAAGAACAATTCCATACGCAGTGGCTTGTAAGCCATTTCATAACATCCCTAGCTATTTATTGAGGATCCCAATGAATGAGATAGATGGTGGAAGGGAGAGAATATGTCACCCAAGCTGTAAAAATATTCAGTCCAAATAAGTGCCCTTTTTCTTCTTAAGGTATAGTTTGTCATGGCAGAGGACTTCGTGGACAGCAAGGAATAAAAGGCCAAATGGGACCCCTGGGAAGAAGAGGTGAAAAAGGAGAAAAAGGCAAGTATGCATCAATAACCGATTTTAATGCAGAGGAGATCTTAGCTGAGCTCCATCCTTTTGTTTCACCATTAAAGACCAGAACCTGCAAGCAGAAGTCGAGGGCAGCTCCCTAAATGGAGGGCTTGGAGCATCAGGCCAAGTCATGAAAATACAGTCCAGATTTTCAGCCAGCTTAATGCCATTGAAGTCAGTGGAATTACTCCAGTAGAGAATTTGTTCCAGAGTATGTAAAGATTCCACATCTAGTATAGGGAATCACGTGACTTTTGTTTCCTGGTGCTGTGGTGGAATATAACAGGCCTTTACCCACTTACTTCCCCACCTGCATACAGAAAAAAGAATGAATGATATTTCTGTTTATATTGTATATCACAACCAGTTCGAAGTTGTTTTCCTACATTTGTGTAGGGAATCACGGCCACTGTTCATGTGACCTTGGTCCTGCTGGCTCACCTGGTAGACGAGGGCCACCTGGTCATCAAGGAAGGAAAGGACAGATGGGATTTCCTGGAAGCTATGGAGAAAAGGGTGATCCAGGTTCCTCTGGCACAATAGGACCAACAGGACTCCCAGTGAGTAATTCTTACAAGTTTCAATTAAAAATAAAGTCAACAAAAACTCACTTCTCCAGGAAGGGAAGTGTCCATTTGGAGGAGGAAGGGGCAGAAGACACTTGGTGCTTGTACTCTTGTATTGCATGCAGTATCAATTGGGCACCATTCTCTTTGGGGGTTTTTCAGCATTATGACTAAGGCTCTTTGAAGGCTACATTTTTCCCTCTTATTTGCTACAAAGGCAGTCCCCGTTTTTTTTTATTTCTCAGTTTCCTTTGGGGAGTGGATATTTTTTTTTGGTCTGTAAAGAAATCCTGTTCTGTGGAAGGCTGGGCTAGAAGAGAAAATGTTGGTTTTATATTAATTAATCGGGAAGGTTTTGGATGGGTTATTTTTGGTTTTTTTGGGTTGCCTTACTCTCTCTTGTGCTTCTGGTTTAGAGAAACAACCATTTTTCTTGGAAATATTTTAGACATACACTATTTGCCATTGAAGATTGTTGGGCTTTACTTAATTAGATTATGGGGAAAGACTCCCAACAAAATGTTTAAAAGGCAAGAAATATCAAATTTGAGTCACATGATGTCAGCAGGGGAAAAAGCAAACTTAAGTCTACACACAGCCACAGATTTTTTATAGTTATATTCAAGATCATCAGTCAAAAATAATAAAAAAAAAACCTCCCCAAAACTCCTTCTACATGATATATACTTTTAATACAAACTAATGTTTTCCTTAATAAAACATAGCAAGAATTTATTTTTGGAACTCACTATTACTGTTGATTGGTAGATAGAACTATCATGAAGTTGGTAATTTTTACTCTGATTTCATTGTCATTTCAAAGTATTCCATTAATTTTTTTCTAAAAATATATTTGAGGTGCTTAATGCAGCATTCACTGAGCTCATTTGTTTAATGAGCCAAACTGAATTTAATATAGAACCTAATGTTTCCTACAGACACTGTAATATAAAATGGTATCCAATCAAGCCAATAGTATCCATATGCAAAAAGTGCCTGAAAATGACTAGATCCAACAAATTAAAGTATTTTCACTTGCCTACGTGGCATTACTGCTATATAACAATTTCACCTAAAGAAAATAATTCTTACAAAATAGATGAATGAGTTACTGGTAATAAAAGATTTCTGTACTAGGATCATTTGATATCTGCACACAGCAGTTTATATTTTCTAGTATAGCTTTGTTCTAATATTATCAAATCTGGCATGTAATTTATCATAAACCACTTTTATAAAGAAAATAGCAAGGTGAATTAATTCATCATTACAAAACACCTCAAATGTGTGTGTCCACCTCTATCTTATTTGTGTGCTTTTTTATTGGGAATGGCTGCCAGCAGGACTAACAAATGAAAGGAAATCTCAGCTGAAGACCTAGATATTCAGTGGGTTGATTTATATGAGGACATTTGTTACCTAATCCACAGTATATCTATTAATTCTAGACAGAGACTTATTTTCTTTAGTGTGCTTCAGGGAGTGTAATTTACACCCCACAGCTGGCCACAGTGCAAAAGCAGACTTAACCTAACTGCCTTCTGTGTACGTTTCAAGAAAATGATCTATTAGTTTTGGTCCAATGTGTGGACACTGTATCCAAGAGAGTATATATTGAAGTGCTGCCAGATCTGAATTTCTGTATTTTGTTATGTGATACAGTTACCATGAATAAGTATAAACAAAAATATGTATGTGTGTGCGGTCTTACTGTGGCTGACTCATCATAAGATATATCACTTTGCTGTACATATTTGGATATCATAAAACAGTAGAGAAATGACTTATGGGGTTTCCAAAATATTATTTCTCAGGCTATATCTACACTACCATGTATGTTGTAGCACAGGGGGATGAATACTCCACCCCCTTGAGTGACATAAGTTAGGGTTACCATATTTCAACAATCAAAAAAGAGGACGGGAGGAGCCCTGCCCCCGTCCTGCCCTAGCCCCGCCCCTGCCCCTTCCACTCCCTCCCACTTCCCACCCTCCTCAGAACCCCCAACCCTCCCCCCCACTCCTTCTCCCCTGACTGCCCCCTCCTGGGACCCCTGCCCCTAACTGCCCCCCAGGACTCCACCCCCTACCTAAGCCTCCCTGCTCCTTGTCCCCTGACTGCCCCCTCCTGAGACCTTCCCCCCATCCTAACTGGCCCCCTAGGACGCTACCCCCTACCTGTCCCCTGACTGCCCCAACCCTTATCCACACCCCCACCCCCAGACAGACACCAGGGACTCCCACGCCCCATCCAACCACTCCCCACCCCCTGACAGCCCCCCCCCAGAACTCCCGACCCATCTAAACCCCTCTGCTCCCTGTCCCCTGACTGCCCCCTCCTGGGATCCCTGCTCCTAACTGCCCTCCAGAACCCCACCCCCTACCTAAGCCTCCCTGTTCCTTATCCCCTAACTGCCCCCTCCTGAGATCCCCCCACCCTAACTGCGCCCCAGGACCCTACCCCCTACCTGTACCCTGACTGCCCAAAACCTTACACCCCCCAACCCCCAGACAGCCCCCCTCCGAACTCCCGACCCATCCAACCCTGCTCCATGTCTCTTGACTGCCCCCTCCAGAACCTCCCTGCCCCTTCTCCGGCCCCCTGGCCCCCTTACCGTGCTGCTCAGAACAGAGGGCTGCAGAGCAGCGTGCTCGGCAGCAGGGGAGGGGGGAGCAAGGGGAGGAGCTCCAGACTGCCGGAGGCCCGATGCGAACGGCCGGTGTAGCCGGCCGCGATCTGTGAATGCAGGGAGGGGGAGGGAGAGAGCGAGAGGAGGGGAGTGATTTCAAGCTGCAGGGAAGAGGAGGGGGAAGCGGAGGAGGGGCTCTGGCTCTCGGAGCCCCATGCAAGTGGCACGATCCGGCCGGCTGCCCTGTCAGCCACGCGCTCTCTGCATTGGGGGGAAATCCGGACATTTAGGAATTCCCTCCGGACGCTATTTTTAACTCAAAAAAGCCGGACATGTCCGGCAGAATCCGGACGAATGGTAACCCTACATAAGTTACACCAACGTAAGCATTAGTGTGCGCAGCGCTATGTCAGCGGGAGAGCTTCTCCCACCGACATAGCTTATGCCACTCACAGGGGTGGGTTTTTTATGCCGACAGGAGAGCTCTCTCACATTGGCATAGAGTGTCTTAGGCTATGTCTACACTACAGAATTAGGTCGGATTTATAGAAGCCGGTTTTATAGAAACCGGTTGTATGCAGCCGATTGTGTGTGTCCTCACCTAAAATGCTCTAAGTGCATGAAGTCGGCGGACCGCGTCCACAGTACCGAGGCTAGCGTCGACTTCCGGCGCATTGCACTATGGTACCTATCCCACAGTTCCCGGAGCCTCCGGCGCCCATTGGAATTATGGGTTGAGATCGCAATGCCCGGATGATGCAAAGCAGTGCCGCGAG